GGGGNGGGGGATTGGCGTGAGCGTTAGCGGCATCCATGTCATCAGTTGATCATACTTAAGCACCAGATAACTACTTTTTTGGCATCGGGTAAGTGCCAGATTAGTACTTGGCCGCGCATGAGCAGCGCGTCGTCGTCGCCGAGCACCAGTGCAAACACCAATGCCATGCATTGTCGTGACGCTGCTGGTGCCGGTGTCGCTAGCGGAGAGAGCGGCGTGCGCGGCGGGAACGGGGCCGGCGAGCGTTCAACATCGTCGCCGCGAACGAGGAACGCCTTCGGCTGCGGGAGCAGTGAGTTGAGGCCCTTCAGTGGCGGCGGCAGCTTCGCGCTGCGCCCCAGCGCAGGACACACCTTCGGGCTATGCATCCTTTGGTGGCAGCTGCGTCCTGAGCGTGCCCTTCCCGTCGATGTCGCTGTCGTCTACGCATGCGTTCGTGCTGACCTGCGCCTTCACAAACGCCGTGCTCAGCCCGTGCGCCGCCCCGGTGCGCACAGTGACAGACCCGCAGTTCTTACTAGGTCAAGGAGTCTCGTCGAAGGATGCTGGCTGCAGGCATTCATTAGTGTACACGGCCTACATCTGTGCCTCAGGTGGGCAAGTCCCTTTGCAGCATGTAGCTCATCCAGCTAATGACTGTAAATACTAGGGCTGAATGAGCAGCTTTGCGACTGTTCTTGCTGTGCACAGGCATTGACAATACCTGAGTTGTAGCCTTAATGTCGGGCGGGTGTACACAGCCTCGTGGACTATTCTCAGGCAAGTGCAATTGCAGCGGGGGCCCGGAAATGATGTACACTTCTTGTATGGCAGTAACCCCGGTGGTACATGCAATAATTGCCAGTAAATACCAGTAAATACGAAGTACAATACAGTACAGTGCGAGTATATTGCAATACAGCATCTGAACTAGTGGTAATGATTATTAATCAGTAATTACTAGCTTCTCAGGTAATACTGGTATTTGCCGAGCCCTAAACATAAGCGAACGTGAGCTCAGAACGTGACGTTCTGCAGCCTCGCAGGACCTCTGTCGTCCCTGTTCTACCCGCGCTGCCTTTGGTCTCACTAGCTCATCCATCGGCATTGCTACTCTTACCCTTCCCATCGCATGACGTCGCGGCTGGCGTTCAGTGGCCGACGACGAAGACCGCGAGCTCAGACGATCGGGCGCGCTTCGGATTGCTGACGCTGGAGGCGCGTCGTGTGACGTCGTGCAATGTGGTTCGGCGTGGGCGGGCCCTTTGGGCGGGTCGGATGAAATGGCTGATTCGGACGACGGTAATGGCTGCGGTCCGGACGATGATGACGGCTGCAGTTCGGCCAGCTATTCCTCGGTGTGCGCGTCCGCGGCGGAGGCAGGCCTGATACTTTTCGAGAGCAGGTCGCACTTGTCATACCAGTAGCCTTCGTCATCCGAGCTCTTGACATGCCCGATCCAGGGGCAGCCGTCAACCTCGCACGTGGACCCGTACTCGTTGTGTGATGTCTCGAGTGCGTGGTGCAGATGATACCGGATCCCATCCTGGTAGCCGCGGAGCTTGTCCAGCTTGTATGCCTTCTCAAGCGCATGCAGGAGTCGCCTGAAGAGTGCGCCATACTGCTCCATCAGCGTCGCATCCTTGAAATACAGTTGCTGGATCCACTGCTCATGGCCAGCTCGGACCTCAACGCGGTTGCCGCCCTGCGAGATGCCTGCCGCGGTATCAGCCGGTGCGGCAGATTCGACAGACAAGATGTCCGCCGCCCTGACCATCCTCTCCAGTACGTCGACCAAAATCTCTCGAGACGCAGCTCGCATGTCACAGCGATAGAGCCACACCGTTGCTGTGGCAATAAACATCTCGACGGGTTCCTGGTCAGCATGAGTGAACTCGGATGGGATATAGTTCGCCAGGAGCAGTTCGCAGTCGGCGGGTGTGGTGCGCCCTTGCTCAAGTACTGAGGAAACACACATGATATGTTAGAAAGTGTTCCCTCAAGAATAGTAGACGTGCACTTACCCATGTGTCTGTCCGTCGCAGAGTACGTGATCTTTCGGCTCTGTATAGCATCCATATATAGAGCAGCGCTAGCTCTAAGAGGCGGCGCAGAGGTGCTGGGGCACTTCATACAGTTAAGCACAAACTGGCGGAGGTACCGCCGCTCTTCCCGACCTGACCCAGACGCTTCAGAGCCATCTTCGTCTGGTTGGGCAGCGACACGAACGAGGCAGTCCAAAGTTTGCTCTTGCGGGCGATAATTGACTTCATGGCATTGGTTGATGTACGCGATGACGTGAGAGTTCTGTGACGACCTTGCAACCCAGGACAGCGCTCGCAGGAGCAGGACAGTCTCTTTGACCTCAACGCACAGCTCGTCCACAATAGCCGTTCGCTCCGAGTCATCTGAAGTTGTCTGGACCGAAAGAGTTTCTTGTGCGGCGGCGTGCATGGTCTCAGTTCTGAGCTGTTGGGACCCAAAGCGCGGCAGCATGGATCTGCAGCTGCTGAGGTCGACGTCACGCCAATTGAGTGGTAGCTGCTTCCAATCGACACGTTCTTGCGGTCCCACGTGGTGATCCCAGCTACCGATCAAGACTATCGAAATGAACTCTTTGAACATCAAAGTATACCACCCTTCGTGCAGGTCCACACTGCATTCTGGCAGAGAGCGTAAAGCTGCGGATGATATGCTAGATACTTGCATAGCTTACCGTAAATGAACCGCCGCCATCGACGATACTGCAGAGCAGCATATGCTCTGCCCCATCTCATAGAGAACAAAACCAAATGCAGCATGAGCTTGCAAGCTGTCATGACCGCCCATGCCGTCGGGGACTTGTATGGGCACCGGCGTGAGAACACGGGAAGGACGGTAAACACGGCGACCACCAGTAGGAACATCGCAGTGAATGCTGTCAAACAGATCGCCACAACGTCGTCCAAGGTCCAGAGAAGAATGACCATGCCAATGAGGAACAGGATCATGGCGACCTCGAGCAGCGCCGGCACCGTCGAGACGATCGCCGAGACCTTCCAGGCTTCCCACGCCTCGAATCGGAATTGCCGCACCATGACATTCTCGCGCGGCGCTGCAAGAGTCGAATTCCACTGCATGTACTCACGCACCCATTGCTTGACCAGGATTCCTATCAGGGCGGCAGCGAGACTGAGGACGAGGCTGATGAAGAACAGGGTGTTGATCCATCGCGCCGGAGTCGATGGCTCGAACGGCGGAGGATCTACGGGAGACGTCAGCGGAGGAGGGGAGAACGGAGCTCCGGTGAGGACGGCGGAGAGTCCCTGGACAAGGATCCGGTTGTTTTCGGCAAGGATCTGGTTATTGGTAGTAAGGAGTTGGTTCGTGAGGTCGGCGCTAGATGGCTGGAGCATCTGATATGTCTGGATAACGAAGGCGGTGAGGACGGCGGAGAACAGACCGGCCTTGGTGGGCGTCAGGTAGATCGAATGCGAACGCATGAATGGAAAACTCACGAATACGAGGAGGGTGTCTATGTCTTCAGAGTACCCTTTCATCTTCCCTTCGTCGTCCTTCACGACGGTCGCCTCTATTCCCGCCCAACCGTAGAGACCTGAGGGGTCCTGGCGCAGGAAGATGCAAAGATGAGACGCCGACATGAGACCCAGCTTAGACGTTATATGCGTACCTTGGGGCCTGGACCATCTGCCTGCTTTTCGCCTGGTGAGGTCGACATTCTGGTACACAGTGTACTGTAAGATGGCAGCGACGAAGGCTGGTGTATAGGTAGAGTGGGGAGAGAGGTGGCGGCGGTTCAGCAGGGAGGGCGCCGCACTGGGTATGGGGCGAAGAGAGATCAGGTCAAGTTCGGGGACACCTGCCGTGGGATGCATGCGTACACCCCTGCCTCACGTTCACACTGACTGCCGAAACAGAATCAGAAGGTCGCCACACCAATGTCGCGGGGTATCTGTCATTCCTTCGATATCTGTTGATCCCTCTGCAGACCCTTGGCCGATGCCCGAGAATTGAGAATATGCGTGCCTATGCGAATGGATGGACAGTGGAGAGCAACGCTCGCCTGGGAACCTCGCATTATCGCTGCCTCGACTGCGAGCGGACGGGCCTGCGGTGCATGTCTGCCGTGCCTTCACTGTTCTCGCCAGCATGCATTCAAGCTGTCAAGAGACGACAGCCTTCGCTGATGACCTGCTCGTGGATGAGATGGCAATCGGATATGATGGTAGTCAACTCCACCGCCTCGTACAGACAAAGCATGCATGCAGAACGTCGTATCCGGGGTTGTCCGAGGCAGCGACTCCGATTCGTTCGGCACCGCCAGGACAAGGCTGTATCTATACTCACGCATGGAAAAGCCTTAAGTGTAAATCTGGCGATGTTATCCAAGCTTATAAGCAGTGCCTTAGTCGCACCCTAATGGAGCCCTCTGGTAAGCATCTCGTGACATCGTGTGGACAAATGCGTGTAGGGTGGATACGAAAAGGAAGAAATAGAGGTAACTGCGGAGTCCTGTGGGTGCTTTTCACGTCTGGAGGTGCATCTAGCGCACGAGCGTGTTATCGCATTGCGGCAGAAGCAGCAAGTTTCGCCACATGTACGTGCGGCACTGGGGGGCGAAGATGCTGAACGGCACAGCTGCAAGCTCGTGAAGAAGAGCACATTGCCTGGGGCGCGAAGGATGACATGGACGAGAAGGCACGAATCATGATATTCACCGCTGGAGGGACCAGAAGCTCTACACTGTGGGGCTGGACGTTCTGTTCCAGGAACTGACTCACGAGCACGAGCAATCGTCGGTCGTTTACAACTCATCTAGTTGGAATAAATGATAGGTCTGCACGACGAAGCCGGTGAGGGTCGCAAGGACAGACCTGGTTGGATTCGCACGACTTAACGAGAAGCAAGAGCGGAATAAGTAATCACTAGAATACACACAAAAAATAGTATACCAGCATCTTCTCCGTATCCACGCACATTTCTGCCGCTATACGCGTGCGAGCACGTCATAAAGCTGGCCTGATTAGCAAGACCTTCAGACCCCTGGCGATTTCATGAGCAGGCGCTTAGTAGCAGTCGAACGAAGGACGACGAACCTTTGGGTCTGCTACTACTTGAGCTCTCCGCTGGGCGAGCTAATGCCAACATCCTCTGCATAATCATGCACCTTTCTACCGCTATCCTCAAGTGAGTATGTCTTCGAAACCGGCCCGGCCAGTTAAACCTGCAAAATCCTGGCGATTCCATGAGTAAATGCCCGGCAGTCGAACAAAGGAAGATGAACCCCTGGTCCACTTCTACTTGAGCTCTCCGCTGGGCAAGCTCGGGGCCAGTCTGCAAGAGCGGGTGGCATTTGAGATGTTGCGACACAAAGTCGCCACCGATGCCGTGGCCGAACGCTACCCTCTTGACGGCGTCTAGAGCCAGCTTAGATGGCCCAAGAAGCCTTCCACAATGTCACTGCTTTGTGACAAAATGCTCGCTTTGATGCGTCAAGCAGTGAACCTAGCAAACGAGGCGTCTTCTGCACTGCCTGTATTCGGCATGCTGGCCATGCCGTCCCGAGGTACATCTGAGATCGGACATCTGCGGAGCCGCATCGTCCCCGAAACAATTAACATCTGGAAGTGGATGTCATGGGCACACTCAAAGTCAGGCGAGGGGTGCTGAAAAGGAGCAGCTCGCAGTCAGACTTCCTGGTCTGGCTCGCTCGAGTGCTGAGTACACGACAAATAAGCGGATATCTCTAACATGCAGAGAGTATACTCACCTAGATGGCTCACTGTTGAGAGTTTGGTCTTGAAACAAGGAATGAAGTCCGGGTGCGCCTTGGCTAATACAGGATAGCACAGTATGCTTGAGACGACCCAAGACGAGTTGAAGGAAGGACAACTGTCGCTCGTCTGCCCCTGGTCCGGTGAAAACCAGAGCCAACATGTCGTACGCCTGCTTCCCCATCAAGCCTCCTGGGTCCGCCTTCATTATCAGCGAGATGCCCACCTACAGAGCGGAGCACTTCAAAACCGTGCACCCAGATGAGTTTCAATAGAAACTGACCAAGTAATCTGTGGCCCACCGCACGATTACCATATTGATGACGTTGCTGACGATATTGGCGCGCGTGTCCGAGATGCCGTCGATGGTATGCGCAGTCTTTGGCAAGCCCTTCGATGAAACGTCTGTACGCCTGCGCATACTCTTCTTTTGGGAACTTTGCGTGTGCGACCTACGCTCTGCAGCCGCGCATACCTGGCAGCGCACTGTCATCAGCCTCTGACCCCGGCCTCGGACATGAGCAGCTCACCTGTCTCTCTTACGAACATCAGGAAGAGCCTGCCGCTCTCTATGAAGTGCTTCAGTTCTTTTTCGTATATCTTCACAGACGTCTTAGGGCCAGCGAAGACATGCGCGAGGTTCTTCGGGACTAGTAGCGCCTGAGGGCGCTTGCCGTTCATGCCTGAGTACTAGCTCACGATCCTGAGCATATCCAAGTTTCCTTTCGCGACAGCTGGCATCCAGAATGGGAATGGGTAATTGCATGTTGTTGCTGGGATAGTATCGCGAGAGGTGAAGCCTGAGCTGTTTGGGCAGCACAGAGGCAAAAGCACCATTGTTCAGATCTTCAGATCATGCGCACAACTTTGAAAGCTTCACGAAGGCACGTACACGGCTATAAAAGCACTGAAACTGTCAGTACAACAGTGGGGAAGATAGTGTGAGGGATCTCACGAGTGTAGCCAGTGGTCAAAACCTGTCCCCGCGCCATCTTGTACCCGCATGAGATGTTTGAGCCAGGACTAGAAAGCATCATACTGTCTGCTTGAATGCCAAGGTACGGCTTCAGGTTATCTGTGTGCCTGCACAGCTGGCGCGCCGCACCTACGACTGCTAGGTCTGTGTCCCAGTCTTCAATGTCCATGAGCGGTTTTAGGCCAAGAAACGCCAGGGATTCGCGCATTAAACACATGCCCTACCCTCTGCTCTGCGTGATGCCGATGGCCTCGATGAACCGGAAGACAGTCGTGTGGCCCCGCGCGCGATATGCGCCCGCGACGGTCTCGGTGGCTGTCGGCAGAATATTTGCGTAGTCGTCGTCGGCAAACAAGCTGCCGTAGTGGCACTTGTGTCTGGAGCGGCGACGCTAGTTAGAGAACGACGAACGAGCTAAGAGCGGACGTACCTGCTGAACGTTCGCATGCGTGGGTCCGGGTTAACGAGGGCGCTCCACGAGCAGCTGAGTTTGCGACAATGCAGCCTAGGCCAGAACTGAGCGACAGACGGCCAAGCATCGTGCGACGGATGATTGATTACAGCCTGAAGCATAGGGGCTGGCAGGCATGCTCAGCCGAAGCTGAGACAAGGGGCAACGGCGTACTCACCGAGCACCCAGCTCCTCAATTGCGCTAATAATAGGCCCTTAAACCCAGTCATGAGAAAAACCCAGTCATGAGAATTGTGATGTTGGAACCAAGATCGAGGTGCATGCGAGAACGTGGCTCTTAAAGTACGGGAGGGTGAAGCTGGCCACGGGTAGGACGATACGAGGCGGCTTCGGTTGGTAGAGAAAGATGGAATAAGACATAACGCCCCGCCTGTGATGGAGAGAGAGGCGTGTGGAATCCGATGCCACTGGCAAGCCAGGATCTTTGGCTTGTAGCGGCGCAGTTAGCTCTCCGTCGGCCGCGGCAGCAGTGGAGGGGCTCTCAGACGGGTAGCCCGCCTCACCAGATGGCTGGGAGTCTGTAGCGAGCGCCGACTTGGGAGGCTGCGTGTTTCTGAGAATTACACTTCCCGCAGAAAGTAACGCCCGAATAGCGCGCCCGCGCCGATCGTAGTGAATGAGGTCCTGGTGCTCATTAGGACGCCGCTTGCTTGAACAACATGGAGGAGCGCGGTGAAGCGCGTAATGTGAGCCTCGAGAAAGTTGATGCTCTGCGGTCAGAGTCGGTGCATCCGTTCCTCGTCACTGCGAACCGTACAACCCTGGATGTTGCGCCGGCCCTAGTACCGCGAGATGGCGTTTGCGGCTTCGAACACCTTACAGTCGATGGCGCCAAAGACTTACAGCGGCGCGGTTACGACGCCCTGTTGTGAGAGTAAGCAAACGGTGCAAAGGCAAATTTGCCGGAACGCAACCTCCGATAGAAACTCACGCGGGCAAAAGCTCGTAGGGAATGCAACGGAAGATAAGAGGTGGGACAGTGACGGCAGGAAAGACCTGCAGGAAAGCTGAAGCGACAACGGTAATCACAGCGGTGACAACATCCAGGGTCCATAGGAGAACGACTATGCCGGCGAAGAAGAGGACCCTGGTGAGATCGATCAGCGTAGGTGTTAGCGCCGTTATTGCCTCCACGTTCCATGTCTTCTGCGCCCGAGGCGGCTTTGGCGCACGAGCGCACTCGTGCGGCACCGGAAGTGGTGAGTTCCACCGTATGTACGCGCGGAGCCGCTGCTTGGGGAGATCGTCGAACAACACGGCTGCGAGGCCGAAGACGCGGCTTGCGAAGAAGAGGGGGCTGATGAACTCGTTGATCAGCTGCGCGGACGCCTGAGGCGCAGAGAGTGGCGTGGCTTTACGAGTGGCGAGTTTCACCGCGTACACTTGTCGCATAGGCTACGATTTGGACCATCGGCTTGCAAATCAACAATTTGGAGCATGGCCGTCGGATAAAACGGCGATGAGCAGCCTGCTTGAAATTTACCAGTTGAGCCAAATGCTTTCAGCGTCGAAAAGACAGGGGACGCACCTGAATGCTATCCAGACCCTCCCGACATTGTCCATTTGCCTCGTCCGTGAGCGTTGTAAAGCGTTCCCCCCGGGTTAACCCAAAGCTTTGTGCTTGCGACGAGTCTCTGAATCGAACGTTCGCATGCGATAGGGAGGTATGTCACGCTTTCATGATTAGGAAAGGGGTGGTTCAAAAACGAAGTACAGGGTGATCCTGACATGAAGTTCATACTATCGTAACTTGCGGACCGGCTCAGCAGAGGTCAGGTCAAGCAGTACGAATATGCGTACCGTGTAATCAATACAACAATCCTTCGACAATACAAAACTGAGCCGTTCATCATTCACCTGAGACCTGAACCTGCATCCTCTGGAGCCCTTGGCGGCGTGCGGAGGTAGAGGGGATAAACAAACAGCTTCATGTCTTCGGCCTAAGCCAATATACGTGCTATCGACGAGTCGAGGGAGAGAAATTGCGCGAAAATCAAGGTACGCGCCTGAACGTGAATTTGGGATCAAGAGAGGGTGAGCTCTGGGCAACAAGCAAACATGCCGAGGCGCTTACGCGACGAAAGCCGTACGTGACTCGTGCTAAACACGGCGCGTTTGGGCTTTTTCAGAGCTGCCCGTCCTTGTCTTCGCACCAGCGGCACACCACGACCGGAGCACAAGAAACTTTGTCACTCCGCTGTGCACTGCTCAAGGGCTGAATCGGCTCTCCTCCCTGCTTCTCTCACGAAACATCCTTTGCAGTCACTTTTGCGGTGGCATGTCTCCCTTCGCACCACAGACGGCGGATCTCCGGCCCTGCGATAACCCTCAAACGGTCTGCGCAATACTACCCGTGCACTGCTGCAATCGGCATGTACTCAATTTGGTCGTCCTCTGGTGGATATAGAGATCCCACAGCGGTCTCTTTTCCTGGCTGGACGGCAACCATCGCCAGCAGGACGCGTCCATGGAAGTTCGAGGTGCGCAAACCTTTGATTGCCTGGTGGTCGCTATACTCACCTTGAACCTGTATCGCTCCATTCAGAATTCGTCAGACACTCGCCCCACTCAACATAGTCTACACTGTTCTCTCAGAGGCCGTCAACGACTACATCAACGACTGATCCGTCGGCTTTCAGGTACCGAGTTGGCAGAATATTTACAACGTGAGCCATAACTATTCCCATTCTCTGCACGCATCCTGACGAACAGATCTCTATGCCATCCAGATCCTGCTGTGCCCCGCTTCTCTCACAGTTCGGCCGCTATGAACGACGTCGATCGAGATTAGGCGCGTCGCCCTGGACGTTGGACGCTATGGCGGAAAGGCTGCACATGTGACTGAGCGAGGAGAGTGCTTGGAGGCGCGTCTCGACACCTAACGAAGATCTCCGTGGCCACACTCATCTCCACTCGTGCAGGCGATAGTACAACTTGCGGCGTTTGAATCAATTCATGCTGCACATCACTCCCGGCGTCCTTGCGCAAGCACCTCAGTGCCTGGCTGCCGGTATGGCACTACCTCATCTCCAGCTCGCGCCCTCATACCCGAACATGAAGTACGACTGCACTCTGGCCTCACAACGCTTTCACGCGCAGACGTGGATCATGCTCGAGGACGGCCAGACGCATAGCATGGAGGAGCTGGCCAGCTATGCAGGGCCAGTGCAGGGTACAAGCACGCGGGCAAGTAGGTTTTGCGTGCGCCGTCTGCATCGCGCCCTCGTTCGTCGAACGCGCAATGGACTTCCAAGCCACCATATGTGGGTGTATGCATACTCATCTTTAGGTATCGATGTTATGACACTGACGAGTGTGGGTGTTTTAATCGCAAGCTTTTGTGCGCAGTCTCGCGTGCTCTTGATGACATTGGCCATACCGGTAATGTCTATCGCTGTTGGCGCCGGCATTTGAGGAGACTATAGCCCTGCCGTAAGTCCCGCTTCCCTCGACGATCTTGGCCGTCTCCCGCTTATACTCTGATCTATCCCAGGACTACCTGTGTGTCGCTCGAACGAGCGTCTCTCCAACCGAAGAATGTCAAACGGGGCTTCGTGCATCTGGTTGCGCAACATGCGATGTCCCGTCCGGCGGACACGCTCATCAGATTGGAGACCGTATGGCATCCTCTTACGCCCACGCCTCGCTATGCTTACAGGGTAAATATCCCGCCGTCCAGCCGATCGCCGTGGGTTCTGTACGAAAGCTCGATAGGAGCAGCATCCGGGCTGCTGCCGTGCTGGCCCACATTGCGGAGA